AAGATAGAGACTATTTTTAAAGGGAGAAGGTATAGTTGAAACATTTGAGAGATGATTTTCAGGCAGATTTTACAAGGAGACAGTAATTATGTCAAAAAACAAATAATTTTAAGCACCTAAAACAGTGCTGTGGACTAAATTGGAGAAGGTTGTGTTCCATGCTTTTGTGGTCATGTTAGGGTGTGCTGTGGTGTTGTATATCACTAAAAAGAATTTTAAAAAATACAAAAAAGGGGGCATATGAGCACAGCTTTTATGTTTAGCTACCTTCTGAGCTTCCTCATTATATTTTCCTTTTATTGCCTTTTTGGGTGAAAACTTCCTGAAATCTCATCAGTAAGTTCTTCCTTCAGTAAAATGTCTAAGTTTCCTCTAGGTAGAACACTAAATATCTTAATCTAATTCCCAGCAGGTGAGTTTTTATTAGCTTTTATCCCAATGGCTGAAACCTCTTGGCATCTCACTTTCCATTTTATATTCCACTGATCACAGAGAAACTTCAGAGGGTAACAGCCCTTCTCTGCTACAAGATATCCAGAGGACTGACTGACAAGGTGGCTCCAATTCCTTCAGGGATTTTCTAAGTTTTAATTATTCTATAATAATATTATAATTGAATCTACTATATTATAAATGTATCTCATTGCATTTACACTGTAGACTTTATTTTCAAAATGTAGCCATTATGTATTCTAGTTCCTTTTTAATTTAGCAAATTAAGATTAGCTCAGCCCCAAATGGAATACTAAGAAATATGATAAATTATAAAAACTGTTAATACCTAATGTCTCTCAACAAGTGTTCATATCGAAACTTTATACCTGTTTGCATAATTATAGCATAGTGAAAGTTTTAGAATTCAATAACTCAGAAATCTTTTAATGTTTTTCTGTAATTTACATTCACATAGCAATGTCATAGGAAGTCAAGAAACATGAAATCACTTATATTTCATGGGGAAACTTTGATATATTTCTTGTAATGTAGAAAATAAAGGTAAACCACTATCTTTCCTTGTTGCTTTAAGGATTCAATCAGGGTACCTATGGAGACTCCCAAGCCTAGAGTTCTCTAATACATATCTCTGATGGAAATGTCATGTAAAATATTCTCACCTACCTGTATTTCAAAAGTGATGGATAGGAAAGGTGCAGCTCTAGACTTTGACATACTGTGATATTTACTTTCTGAAATAATAGGGAAATAGCACCATAAGCATAGCCTTCCTTTAGTTTTCTTTTTTTTTTAATAAAAAGCTTTGAATAAGGTGAGTTCATTTGTGTAAACTATAAAAGTAAAATTGTAATGAGTTTGCATTCTATTTAGGCATGGCATGACTATTTTATCCTCATTTCTTTGCAGAATATGGGAAAGCATGAGTTCTTTATTTACCCTTCTGCCTGTGCATTCAAAGTTCATATACTCTTCCCTCCATCTATCTTAGCATTGACCCTCCAATCTTTTCTGCTGATGTATCTCACTCTATGTCACCAAACAGGTTCATTTTGTGGACTTCTTTTCTTAATAACGCCAATACCACTGACCTTTTCCAGATTTTAGTGTTGAATATTTGATGAGATTTCTACAGAGGAATGTTCTGACTTAAGGTCCCTAAAATATAAATCACTTCAAGTTTCAAAGTGTCTTTCAATCAATACTTTTAGTTTATCTCATTTAAAACCATGTTCAATTTGAACCAACAGGAAGAATTTTAAAAATTATTCTGAATAAAATCTAATGTCACTCCATGTATCCAATAATCAGCAATATTTTCACTAGCTTTCTAGGATAGCCTCCCCTTGGGTTAGGCTTCTTTCTCTAATATTCTCATAAGGGTGGATATTACACCAACATAATATAATTAATTTAATTATAATAATCACTATTATTATAATTAAATCACTATTATTATAATTAAATATTATTAATATTTTTTAATTAATATAATTTTATAACAGTTGGACTTTTTTTTCACATTCTACTAGAATCCTGATTGACTGGCTCAAAACAAACTGTCAATGGTTTTACTATTAACTTTCTCAGTGAAAAACATATCCAACTCTATAGAGTGATGCAATGGATCTTTTGCTCACCTGAATACGATGGGGGAAGTTGTCAGGATTGAGAGGGTTGCCAACAGTAAGCAGCAGTACGTGAATAAAAGGTAGGCTCTTGGCAAAATCAAGTGAATATAGTCTATACATTCTGTCACCAACTTAATCAATATTCTGATCACATAATTCAACTGACACAAATACATACCAAGTTGTGAATATTTTACTAAATACTTTGTGAGTACTTTAATCATATAAATATTTTGATTTTTTTAGAAATTCCTAAGTTACTCAAGCAGGAGGTTTTTCTTTTTCTTTTTTCATTTATTTTTTGCCAGTGTTGTATGAATCATTTAATATAATGCATACACCAATGAATAAAATAAAATAATATGGACAGGGTCCTTCTGGTGGCATGGTTGTTACCATTCCCCTGTATAAGGTGATCTACCAAGAAAATAAAGAAATTTCCAACTACTTTCTTTCATTTATATTTGTATCAAGAAGCTTATTTTTTAGTTAATGTGTTTTATTTTGAGTTACAGTACAGCTACATGTGAAAACAGGGCATGTATAGAACAATGTGAGTGTGCAAAAGGAATAGCATAGACTTTGTTTTTCAAAATAAGTACAGTATGCCTGCTCTTGGTCCTGGTTACATTGTCAAGGTCTCTTGAAGTTAGTGTGTTCATATCAAGATTGGTTGAGGGAGCTAATTTGAGAGGCTTCTCTCTATCTTTTTACATGAGCTTTGAATTTTTCATATTTACTGAAGGAAGAGCTCCTAAGAACAACTTTCATAGCTTGCAGGCTAACTGTACTCCATTCAGCATGTATTACCCCTGGGATGCTAATCTATCAGATAGTTTCCTGTTGGGAAATGTTAAGAGCTGCTGGGGGGAAAGGCTAAGTTCTGAAAAGGAAAGCTGTAATTTTTGAGAAGAATTAACTGTTTCTGCAAAGACTTATCAGTAGTCTTAATAATATAATATGAATGGACACAAATTCCTAAGTTACTCATTTACATTATAATATTAATTGTAGTTGAAGTAATTACTTCCATATCTATTGACTTTTGCTTTGACGTTTGCTTTAGTCTAATGGATATGTCTTAATAATGATACTGTGTGTGAATGTGTGTGCCAGTTCTTTTTTCTCTGACTTTCATTTCTGGTGCTCTGCAGTAGTTTGCCAGGGGTATGAGAGGACTCTGAAAAAAATGATTTAAAAAAATATCCAGTTGCAATTCCAAATTCTCAAGGACCTTTTGAAAGTAATAACCTATCAGACATAATTGACATTCAGAAACTAAAATCTGATCCACCTCCAGCAATGAAATTATACTACTCTGAGAAGACTGCTATAATAAATCTACCTAAGAGTGTTAAAAATACAGCCATTAAAGTGGCCAAGAAAATATTAATGTACTAACATTACATGTTTTATGCTACTTTCTTACAACCTCAAGATACATTAGTAGTAAAATGTATCCCTAGGCTAGATTCCTAAATGAGTTGACATGCTGTGTAAAATTAGTGGATACAGAACAATTAAAGTTTGGAAGTAGCAAATGCAAAACTGCTTATCTTTCTTGAGTTACTGGTCACTGCTGTGACTTCTTTGTGTGGGGGTGAAGAAGCTCTCTTTCTGTTTTTAAAATATCCATTTCTCTTTGTTCTTTTCCTTCTTTTTCTGATCAAATTTGTTAGATTCCTTCCCTGAACAGTTTTCTTTTTCATTTGTTGGTATCAACTAAGATCTTTATCTCTATTCTAAACCTTTTCCAAACAACTCACTCCCTAGGAAATTCAATCCTGTCCGTGGCATACAACATGCTTGTGTTTAAAGATGTACGCTTTGTCTTTGCTTTTCCCTGATGTTGTGCCTCAATACACACAGTTCCCTCTGCCTGGAATAAACTCCCTCCTGCATTCCTCATTCACTTATCTGTAAGCAGTGTGTCCACCAACACCTGGCTCACGTGGCAACCTCTTCTTTAGAGGAGTCTGTTTCTATGATCCCCCAACAGTCATTATAAAACTCAGTATAATGTCTTCATCTTGGGTTTAAATATTGGTTGGTTTTGGTGCTATCATGAGAGATTTGAAGCCTTTCATGACATGAAATCTGTATGAATATTTTTATCCTATCTTATGGCATTTTTGGAACTCTGTTGGCTACCAGCTGATATATGTTGAATGTTTAGTGATAGAAGTCCTATTGTTCTTCAGACCAAGACAGTGTAAGAAAGATGGCTTATAGCACTGCTACATTCATTCATATTTTTTAAGAACTTTAGATGAGAATTTTAGAATGATGTTAATATATATTAATGTATGTTAATATATAGTAATGTATAATTTAACATATGCCATATTGGATTCACTTATTCTTTTGCACATTTATTGCATTTGGTCCCCAAACTGAGATTTTTTTTTTTTTTTAAATCTAAAATATGTGTGCCAAACTACCAAAGGTGGTGGTGGTGGGCATGACTTTGGGTTAAAGCTTCCTTATACTGTAGTTTTTATTCTCAATTTACTTCACTTAAATTCAATTAAAATGTTTACTCAATACCATAATTAACCTGTTTTAACAAAATAAGATAAGATTTATTGTTTTACAAGCAGGTTTTGAAAATTTTGCACCTTGTATACTTGCATTCTGTGTATACTTACAAAATAAAAATTTTATGCAAAAGTGAGTCAGGAAGGCATTTAAGTCAAAAGTTTTAAAAGAGACTCCTCAGCAAATCAAAGCTGACCAAAGATGAAGCTGTATCTTGTTTTTTTTTTTTTTTAACAATTATTATGTGATTTACAGTTTACCATAATGTGAACAGAAATGCTGTTCTTCGTGCCCCCAAATGACCCTGTAAATGTGGCTCCAGAGCAATTACAGGCACCCTGTCCAGGAATGAATCATTTAGAAGAAAGTAGAAAGTACCTTCTCTGTTTTTGCGGGTATTTAAGTGCGCGAGGAGATTTCCATTGGTTTGCACGCAGTATGCCTCTCGGGTCTGGACGCCTCCTCCACAGAGGGCGGTCTGGTTGCCACGTCTCTTGTCTTGTTGGCTCAGCAAAGGGTCCACGCGGCACTCGGTCCACTCTGTTGTTGTCCAGCCATACCTAAAGAAAGAAAATGCCGGCGGCCACCATGCTTATCGAATAAAACGCTTCTCTACTCGTCTCATATTGTATTCTAAAAATTAATCTAAAAACATTTTCCTCTGGACTCCATCATTGACTTTACAAGGGCCTTGCACATCCAATTTCAATCCTTCCTTTATCCTCAGCGGCGCTCAATTTAAAAAGGGGTTACATTTAGAGTGATCCTGTTTTAATTGCTACTACTGGAAGTTCCTTATAAATATTTTATGAAAAGAGAGCATAATGCTGAAAACATGAAATTTTATGTTCAATTAAGCTGAACCCAAGCCTGCCCTTTCTGGATGCTCATAAACGAAGGAGGATTGAATCTAAGAAAATATTCTATGCGATGATGAACCCAAATGTTTGTTTTGTCTTTAAGAAAATGAATGAAAATTGCTTCTTCCTACTGAAGCAAAATTATAATTGTGTTTTAGGACTTAAAAATATAACAGGAAATTCAGAGTTTTCAAGAATAAATTTTTTTCTTCTGTAATGCTGAGCATTCCTGATAAATGCTGATGAATGATGAAAAGAGCTGACATTTCTAATCAGTGGAACACAGGAAAGACCATCTGTGATTCTCAATTAAAGCTCCAATCAAGATTATGATGTGAAAGAAATGTCGGGGGACTGTCAGTCCAACACATACTTGAGGAGATAGCCAGGGAACCATTTCTGATGCCACTGAAGATAGAAAGTGATGTCATTTCTCCCCTCTAAGAAAATGGATATTCTAAAAGCCTAAAGAAATGGCTCATATAGCACTTGGTGTCACTTTAACCAAGATGCTACCTTGGTAATTATATTAACAGCCAAAATAGGTATAAAAGGCCATGCTAATACTCCTCTCCATCAGACAGAAAAACTAAAGGGGCCAACAGATGTCTGTTCTGGATACTTTCCTCTGTCAGTGATAAGTTTCTTGACAGTAATACAGAGATTCATACTTCTTTTTCACTTTTATTAGTGGAGATTCATGGTATAACTCAATATAGATCTGGGTCATCAAGGAAAGACAATCTTGACATTTGTTCCTAAAAGAAGAACAGTGTTCATGTCAATTCTAGACATGTGGATAATTGATACCTGGCTATGAGCATAGGGTAGAAGGAATAAAACCAAATAAGTCATTTGCTAGGGAAGCTAAAATGGTGATTTAAAAAAAAATCTAATTAGGTCAAGATGAGGAGTTTTATGGGAAGGAACAGATTTTATTAAAGATAATAGGTAATACATTTTAGAAAAATGGTACTCCAACAAAGTAAGAAAAGAAACTCAAAGATATTTACTTATTTTGTTAATAGTATTTGTTAATAGTATTTGAAAGAATAAAGAATAAGGTACTAATTTAAGAAAAAAATAGAAGAAACTCATAGGAGAGAAAACACTCTGAAAATCCTGACTTATCCTTGTGCCTATGACATGGAGAGGGTCCACCAAAGTCAGTGGGACAGGTCAAGATAGGTAGAAAGAAAACAGAGGGGTGAGTCTAAGACATAGCAGAAATGAAGATCTCATATAAATCATCACTAATTTTTGTTATTAGATTTAGTGGGAATAGTAATATTAATTTGCCTCCTCACTGGTTCATAAAGCCCAAATTGTATGAATGTTCTTTAGGTGTGTAGAATATTCCAGAGAAGCTCTCAATGAATTTTATGCATTTCCATTGAAACACTAAGATTCTCTACATTGCTTTATAAACATTTGATATTCAAATTAAGCTGAAATATTATTATTGCCAACATAATTCACAGTAATGCTTTGGAATGATATTTTAAGGACAAAAATAATCTTGTTATACTGCCAAATATTTCAGAACTAGTCTAATTTTATTTAAATTCAGTGAGCATTTATTGGGCACTTATTGTGTGCCAGGTCTTATGATGTATGCTGGTGCTAAAACAACAAACACATAAAAATAAATACAATTCTTATCTTTAAGGCTTTAAAGTCTCATTATTTTGATGTAGTATTTTACTTGATTGAATATGGTTTGTTCAATACATTACTGAATTTTAATGGATCATAGGAACCTATGATTTGAAAGTTTGTTCTTCCTTTTAGAATGGGGATTGAAAAACCATGGATTAAGGAGCAAATCAACCTACTGTCTGTTTTTGTAAATAAAGTTTTATTAGAACAAAGACTCATTAATTTGTTTACATATTGTGTATAGCTCCAATGGTAGTGTTGAATCATCACAACAGAAACCTATGTGGTTTAAAAAACCTAATGTATTTATGAGCTGCTCCTTAACAGAAAACGTTTGCCAACACCTAGTACATAATTAAAAACAACCAATATTTTTTTTAAAAAAGTAAAAAAAGAAAGTACATCACTATATAATTGCTGCTGAAATTTTAGCCTTATGGAGATTTGGAAGTAGTGCTATTAACAACACTTTTATTCTGGAAAACGAGTATTTTTTAGGATAGATTTTATAAAGAGATATTTTATTTTTCTGTTTAAGATGTGTTAAAAATCACTATTTCTGCCGGGCACAATGGCATATACCTGTAGTCCCAGAGGCTGAATTTTAATGGATCATAGGAACCTATGATTTGAAAGTTTGTTCTTCCTTTTAGAATGGGGATTGAAAAACCATGGATCAAAGCCATCCTCAGCAATAGCAAGATGCTAAGCAAGTCAATGAGACCCTGTCTCTAAATAAAATATAAATTAGGGCTGGGGATATGGCTCAGTGACTGAGTGCCCCTGAATTCAATCCCAGGTACCCCCCCCACACACACACACCAAAAAATAAAAAAAATAAAACTCCTACTATTTCTTAACATACTGTTAAATTCAAATCAAATAGCTAAACAAGCACACAAGTGAGGCACACTGCTCTTTATTAACTCACGTGGCACAGAGGGCAACTCCATCTCCTTGAGGCACGCAGGGTTCTTTTTCTTCAAGTTCTGGACATTCCTTTTCACTGCCAATAGGAAACTGCCTGATGGTTCGTGTCCGGACACGTGTGCCTGTTGGGGAGGCAGGATCACGGCATGTTGCTGAGCATGGGCTCCATTCCAGCCACTCGGACATCTGGCACTCCTTGGTGATAACACAGGATTGGACGGTCATTGGCAGCTTCTCTTGCTGGCAAAAGCTGTAAAGAGCAGTGATAGTCTCATCATAGATTCTCAGGCTGTTATGAATAATGTCTTCTATACTCCAGAGTAAAACTGGTTTATACATTTTTAAATTTCTACTTGGAGGTGTAATTCCAATTTCATTGAAAATACACTAGCATCTACAATGTTCAAAAGCAAATTCAAAACTAACGTCTGAATTGCTTCCTATTTTGTAAGAGTTGTTAAACCATTCCTAGGAAATAGAAAATACAAAGAAATAAGCAAAATTAGCTGAAGCTAAGTTTACATGTTACTCATTCCAGATTTGCTTTAATTTAGAAAATTTGAAACTAAGAACTGTTAACAGATACTAATTTCTGTTTTGTTTGGTGATTTAAATAAGCATGTTTGGCTAACTTAAATATTGTTTTGAATAGAAAAATTAATTCAATATGTGCCTTAACATTATTTTTAATATTGTTTGAAACTTTACTTATAACTTGTAGTTATAATGCGTGCTTCTTTAAATATAGCAACTTCTTCAATCCATACTTTAATAGGGAGTATACACATGAGCATCCTATTTAAATACATCATAAGTATTGAAAATAGATCTAGTTACTTTTATACTATAGATATTTCCTCTAAATATATCTCTAATATTTATTTAATCAATGAAGTATTTATGTCCAAACTTTTGACTATTTAACTTCTACTTTAACTACAGTTATATTGGACTCTAAATTATAATGTCTACATTTGAAGCTGCAGAATATATGGTGGATGTTAACAACTAAGAGCATTCTTTGAGGAAATTTACTGGAATGGAATAGATTTGTGTTGACTCTCAGCTGAACTCTTCACCAGTGTCCATAACCAATACCATATGCTTACACAGGCAGCCTGTTGTCATGGTAGAGCTGTTTGGTCCAATGGGAGAATGCACTGCCAATTCTGTCTCCTCATGCAGGTGCCGTATTTATCTGTGGTAACCACAGAGAAAGACATGCCCATTTTACTGTAACAATTCACATGCAATTTCTTAATCCTACTTTCATGTGTATGAACATTGAATTCTTATGAGACAATTAGAGTTCAAAGCCTCAAAGTCAATTAGCTGGAGGTGAGAGGTCTAAGCAGAAGATAAGCTGAGAGTGGTGGCAAAAGGGCTCTCTGAGTTGCTTCTGTTTTTTCTATGACAACAGAGAGGGAACAATTTCTGATTTCTACTCAACTGCTATGTACTGAGCATTAATGATGCATTAAGCACAAGGCTAACTAACCATGGAGCACAACTTTCTATATGATGAGCAAGTTTTCATTCTTATACTTACTTATTAATCCATGAAAATCAGGTAAAATAATAACCAAATGTTGTTCTCTAAAATCCATTTATTACAAAATATACATATTTCATATCATCTTAGATAGATTTCTTATCCTTCCTTGATCATTTTCATATATGCTGGCACACTATCCTTTATCTAATATTTAATAAGATCATAGTCTATGAATGGCAAAGATTAACAACCTCTTTTAACCTTTTAAAGAGAGTTTGACTAATAGTTTACTACTTCCAATTACAGTTATCCTGGTCACCTGATGGAAGCAGACATATCAATTATGTTACCAGATCATATCATTAATAATAAATGAGCCCTTTGGATCAATTATACCTACTCTGAAGAAACTATAAATACGTGGTAAGAAGATAGAGCTTTGGGCTGTACCATGTGTGGCAACTCTTAGAACGGGTTTTTTTTTCTTTGAGGGACCTTGTAGGCCATGACTCTTGGATCACTTCAAGAGTTGTTGGGTCCTATGTAGAATGAAGCTTTTTTTAAAGTCAGGACAGTTACTGGACATACCTGATGTATATGCTTCTTACATTTGAGCTATGCTGCATGGACTGCTAGGACGATTCTCACCAGATGGAGAATGTCTGATGCCGCAATGATGACAAGCTCTGGTTCCTGTTCTCTACCCCTCTAGGCAGAACCATGTCGAGTGTGGCTTATGGTAGCCTTGAGTCTTGCAAAGTCGAATGCTTGGGAAGTCCTAAATTTAAAACTTGACTCATATTACTTAACTTAAATCATTTTATGTCTCTATCACTGTCAGTTCCATTTGACAGGGAAGCAGCCTGCTAGAGGCTAGGGAACTTGCTAAAGATCATACAGTGAGTAAGTTATGAACTCGAATTGAAACTTAGATTTTCTAAAAGCAGAGCCTATTTTCTGGACCATTTGGGCTGGCTTCTCACAGTTGAACTGGCTGTAAATCTTAGTTCATTAGAACAACTACTTTAGCTGAGGCCAATGCCAAAGTTACTGGCAATGTGAATTAGCTAACATGAGTATTCACAAACCCAGGCTTTGTAACATCTATGCACTTGGCAAATGTTCTGGTTGTCCTAAGAAGACTTAGTTAGTAAGTATGGAAAAGCCAAAATAGATACACTTTCCTAACAAATGTTCATTTTTAATAGAGTCTACATATAAAAATTTGCATAAAATATGAATAATATTTTTATATATATATACATGCAAATATATACATACACACACATATATATGTACATATGTGTATATATACATATATATGTATATATATATATATATATATATAATTTTCATGTAATTTTCCAGTATCCTAAACATTTCAACAAATATGTATAAGTAATTCTAATGCTGGGTTTTGGAAGTAGAAAGACAAGATTATAGTAATTATATGAAGCATATAATTCTGTGAAGACAGGCACAGAAGGTTACATAAAATAAGAGGTTATTGTGGTGAATTTTAAACTATGTATTAGAATCTGTCCTGTTGAGATGAAGGTAATTAATAAAGATATGAGATGACAAAGCATGTTGGGTGGTGGAAAATAAATTTTTTTCCTTGGCCTCACAAAAGGGAGTTTGTGGTGAGCAGTAGAAATAAGAATAGAAGTTAAAGGCCTAGATTAGACCCAAGGCAATACCATAGTTCCACATTAAGACCTCTTGTGGATGAGAGTGCCATTTAAAAGGTCAGAGCAGAAAATATGATAGTATTTGTATTTTATGTAGTTTCTGATGGTGAGGTGGGAGAAAAGGTTATTAGGGTACATGACTAAGACAAGGAGATTATCATAACAACAACATTTATACTTCTGATAAACATTATAAGTGGAGACTATAATGATGATAACAATATTGCTATTTATAATAAATATACATTAAGTGTTTACTAGATACTCTTCTAATCTTTACATGTATAAAATTATTTATCCCTTGGATCAATATTATGAAGTAGGTGTTATTATTAGTTCAACTTTACTCCAAGAATTAAGAAATGCAATTTCTTCTTTTTACTGCCTAATTTTTAATTTTTAGCTGCTCTGGCAAAAGGGTTTATGAAAGAGAGGTTGGTTGACACTCACTGTCCATCTTCCGCTGTATTAGATCATTGATAATGTCTTAGGATAGAAGAGTAAAGAGTACAGCAATTCTAAAGAGGAATGCTAGTCTTCAGGCAGCACCTCATGACCACATTCCTCATTCTTCTATGGTTGCATCATCTATTCATATGACTTCTCCATGTATTACATTTATTAATAATGCTTATCTTGTCTATTAAAAATTTTAAATAAGAGTTTTATATCTTGACACTAAAAAGGGTAGATTTTTGAAAGCACCAAATAAAAATTCTAGAAATAAATAAACGAATGAACAAACTTTGCAGGGAAGTTGCAAAGTTTTCCCAGGTCTTGCTTAGAAAGTAGTAAAGCTGGACCTCCTTCCTGCCTGGGAGCCAGGGCCTGGGGCCAGGCCCAGGCCCCCTCCCCACCAAAATGTAGAGGAGCCCAGGAACAGGCCTAGGACCACTCCTGCCAACCCTTGGAGGGGGGAGCCCAGGCTCAGGTGAGGCACAGGCCTAGGACCAGGCCCAGGTCCAGGACTGCATCCACTAACCCTCTGACCCATTCCAGGGGCCCAGGCCCAGGACTGCTCCTCCATGGAGCTGAGGACCATGTGGGCTGCCCCAGCCTACCTGCATTTTGGGACACTGCAGCCATTGCCATAGCCCTCCTCATGTAGCAGCCTCCACTTGGGACAACAGGCAGGGCCTTGAGGCACCTGCCCTCCATAGCACAGCACATCACAGTGCTGCATCTCAAATAGGCAGCACAAAGCCATCATAAGGCCCACCCTTTCAGCCTCATCTTGGAAAGTGATCACCTCCACCTTGGGATACCTCAGTGCCATCCTGAGTTACCTCCGCTGCCACTGACACCATCTTTACTTGCAGCATCCCATCTTGGGACACCAGCCAGGACCCAGAAGACCATCACCAAGGTCCTTGCAGATTTGGTTACACCAACAAGATGGTGGCTATTAGCACACCTAGCGGGTGTGCTAATAGCCACCATCTTGTTGCAGAGACAGGAGAGAGCCTTGCACAGGGCTGCCTCTTTCTCTCTTTTCTCCTGTTAACTGCCAACTTCTTTTGATTCATCTTTCATTCTTCCTATGATCTTATACCTCTATATTCTCACCTCCTACCTCATAAACATCACACCCAGTATCCCCCCATTTTTCTCTTTGTCCACCTGTAGAGACTGTAGACCCTTTTGGAAACCTACTGTACATATTGTGGATATTAATTGAACATATCATTTCTGCTTACTATGACAAAACTTTAATGGTCTAAACAGCAATTATTTGGTATAAAGCTGTATATTGTTTGCATTGGAAGCTGTTAAAATGGATCTCCCCTTTAAAGGTGAGATACCAGAAACTTACAGGGACATTATAAGATTGTAGGAGAGAAACTGTAACACCTTGCATCAGGAAGACACACTAAAGCAAGAAAAGACATGGAAAGAAAGTACCGCAAACAAACCAAGATGATACAGTTATAGAATCCATTGAGAGCACAGTAGATGAAATGTCAGAGAAGGAGTTCAGAATGTACACAATTAAAGTGATCTGCAAATCAAACAATGACATAAGAGAGCAAATAGAGGCAAAAATTGATCACTCAAACAAAGAGA